AAATTCCTAATGGCTCACTTGTTTTTCCTCACTGCTCTTTATGAATTCCAAAAATGGGAGAAGCTCCCTTTTAAAGTTAATGGACATGTATCTGACACTGCAAAACACAGATAATGATGTGTAAGGCATAACAAAATGGGTTCAGTATCTGTAGCTTCACTCACCATCAGAAAGTTGAGTCCTAAGGAAGTCTCTTTCCTTTGTCAAAGCTTCTACCTTCTCCTCCAGGTTCTCTACCCTCAACTTGTACATGTTCATTTCTGATTTGGCTTTAAGAAGTTCTGCTTTAGCAAAAGCCACAGTCACTGTTGGGGCCACTGCAATCTGATCACCTACAATAACACAAAATGTATGTAGAATAATGATCAGATAATTCATTAATAACAGCCAACACTCACCTCCATCATTAAAAAACATTTGTTTATATACACACAATAATGGCAAAGGCACAGTAGCATTCAATAATGAATCAAAGATTATGGAAGAAGAAGAACAAAAATAATTATTAGGATACAAAAATGACAGCCTGCAGGAAGTGTTTATTTTTTGTGTAATGGACGCTTCATTCATAAGTGCCTCTTTAGCGTTCTTGACATTGTTGGCATTAAAACCTTCACCTGCAGATGCACTGAAGGCTAACAATAATAATTATCAACTGGGAGAGAATGCTTACTACCACTACTTCTGAAAACTTAAACATGTTTTATCACAATGAAAGTCGGCCTGGTTTTAGAAGTTACCTATATATCTTATGTTAGCTGTAGCTAGCTAGCGGGCATGGCTAATAATGAAACGATTCACCATTAAGATGGCTAGTTAGATAACGGTAAACGATAAACTTGCCCTCTTTTGTGGCAGATTTGTCTGCTGACTCTGCATTTCTATTCCGCATCGTTCGCCGTGTTTGAATTGGAGAGTTTTTAGATTTTGCGTCCATCTTGCTACGTTTGGGTGCTACCTAGTTAGCTACACATTAGGTCTTCTCAGACGTCTTCTTCGTGGCTGTGCGTGAAAATGCATTGCGCGAGTTGATGCTGCGCGCGAAAAGACGTCGAGTCGAAGCAGATAAATACACAAGTAGACCTCAATGATGGGATACAGGTACAGGCAACGCTAAACTAAATCTTTGGCTGATAAAACCTAAAATGTAAGTACCATTAAGCTGGTTTACGCGTTTTATATACAGTATGTAGTATTTTCTATTTAATGGCACATCATTTCTTTTCATGTTCCTCGGTAGTGCTATTTAGTTCATTAACATTAGATAACGTTAACTAATTTGTTCAGCAAATATTTAAAATTATACCTTGGATATATGTCTTATTTTTACTGTAGTATTTTGATGTAATTGCATTGCTATGGAACAACATGGACTTGGACATGGACTCCTTGTCAGTTACTGATATAAGCAAACACTCCAACAGGAAATAAAATTTGGTTCAATTAAAATGTTAATGTTAGAAGGGGGTATTGTTTTCACTTCTGTTCATACATTAGTTGTTGTGTGTGCTAGCCTCAGGAGTGCTTGTGAAGAGAGACACTGATACTGGCCTTCTGCAAAGAAATAGGAGGGGTGGTGCAGCCTGACCCCAGTCAACTGGAGAGGTAAGACACTGTCCATCCTACCTCCTCCCTCTCCTTACTAA